TTTTTTTTTTTTTTTTTTTTTTTTTAATTATTATTCTGACACAGGATCTTGCTAAGTCACTGAGTTGTCCAGGCTGTGTTTGAACCTGTGAACTTCTTGCCTTAGTCCCCTAGAGTGCTGTGCCTGTGGGCGAGTGCACTACGGCATCTTAGTATTGGATTAAAAGCAAAGCTTCTGTAGGGACCTTCACCTTGGAGTGTGGCATTCTTCTTTGTTTCGGTCCTCTGAGCGCCATGGACTGTTTACCCTGGCTGGCCGTGGTTGGTTGTCACAGCATTTTAGACAGGCCTCTTAGACCACCACTGCTGTTAGACAGTCACCCCTACACAGTGTGGCAGCATAAGGAAAACCAGACAAAATCTGCCTAACGTTTTACATGCTCTATCCCCTAAGGCCCAGTGGCGTGGACCAGGGTTCCCTTTGCTGGTACATCTGTGCACATATGTGCTCGTTGCAGGTCAAACGTGTGTCGACATCAAGGACAATGTGGTGGATGAAGGCTTTTACTTCACCCCTAAAGGGGATGATCCATGCTTGAGCTGCACCTGCCATGGAGGGGAGCCTGAGATGTGTGTGGCCGCCCTCTGCGAGGGTCCCCAGGGCTGTCAGCAGTACCGCAAGGAGCCTAAGGAGTGCTGCAAGTTCATGTGTCTGGACCCAGGTGAGACTCTTGATAGTGGATGGGGAGCAGTATCTACCTTCGGAACCAGAAGCTAGATGTCCTGTGTATATATGTGGTACTGGGGATCGAACCCAGGACCTGTTGCATGCTAGGCAAGCCCTGTAGTGCTGATCTACCATCCTCTTTATTTTGATTCTGGGTATTGCATATTTGTACTGGCTAAACTTGCCATCTTCCTGCCTCAGCCTCTTGAATAGCTGGGGTGACAGGCATTACAAGATTACAAGCCACCATCCCCAGCCCAGATGTCCTTTTGCTTCCTCAGTCGTGGGGATTGAGATCTCATGACAGTGTCTGTTCACAGAGTTGTCATAGAAACTTGGGTGGCTGGCTTTTCCAGCTAGTGTGTCCTGTGCATCCTGGCCCTGTAGCTGCCACTCTTCACATTGCCTCATTCCCACTCTCAAGTAACAGATATTCACAAATGAATTTAACTTTGAGTGTGGCTCACTGTTTACAAATTAGCTCAACTTGTTACCTTCAAACCTTTCTACTTTCTTTTTAAGTCTAGAGCTAGACTTCTAATATGTATAAACATTTGAGCTCTTCCTCTGTTATGATGGGGCTTGGGTCATCAGGTTTTACTGATAGAACCTTTAAGGGAAGGGTTAAATATTACCTTCGGTTTTAAGATGAAACTCCTCACCATTAGGTGGTGCTTTAAGGCAGATCCAATCTGGTTTTGAAATGACCTTCCACTTACTACGAGAGCAGCCCAAGGTGGCCTGCTCCCTAGGCTCATTGACACATATGGAACACTGCATAGGATGATTCATTACCATACACCAGTGCTGCAGCAATTCCGTGTGAGTTCAGGTCTCATGAGAAGTATGAATAAAAAGCGTGTAGTTGTTTCTTGGGTGCCACAAAGTGAAGACTTGTGGGAGCCTATGGGTATGTGGACCCCACAGACTAGCAGGCGTGGAAGCCATCTCAGCTGGTGTGTGAGGCCATGACACAGCTTTCCCTGAGTGGAGTGTGTCGGGGTTCCTCACCCCAAGAGGCTGCTAGGTGGGAGAATAGAGCCACCCTTCAGAAGCTGTGACTGATGCCAGGCAGAACTGGGCACTGTGACACATGTGCCGTCGGATGTGTGCAGCTGACTGTAGTATGTGCAGCCAGCCACCGGGCAACAGAGAGCTTGAGATCAGTGAGGACAGTACTGATCACTGTCTCCAGATAAGCACTTTGCTATTTGGAAAAGGGTTATCCCTACAGGATCGTAAAAAGCACTGACTGAGTGCTTAGTAAGTTCTTGTGCCCCTTGACAAATTACTCCACCTCTCTAGCTGTTACCTTCTGTAGGAGTCAAATTCTTGCTTTTTATAGGCCATGTTGTCTGGACTCCTAGTTCCTTTTCTCAGAAATCTCTCAGTATTTCTCTGCCACTCTGTCTAGGCCTTATAAAGATGACAGGATAGGCTGGGCGTGGTGGTGCACTCCTGAAATCCCAGCACTTGGATGGCTGAGGCAGAAGAATCACTGCAAGTTTGAGCTACATAGTGAATTCAGAGCCAGCCTGAACTTCACAGTGAGACCCTATCTTTAAAAAAAAAAAAAATCAGCCCAAAGGTTCTGTGGGCCACTTTCCTGTACAGGTGGAATAACAGCCAAACCTGCTCCATCTGTGATACAGCCAAGCTTCCTTGGCCTCCTGACTCACAGAGGCCCTCTTGGGAAGTACAGTACCCTTCCACTGAAGTTGGAGGCTCTGGGAATAGGCGCTCAGGTATTGGCCTTCAGTGCCCCATTCAACAAGACCAGGGTGTCTGCTCTCCCAGCTTGTTCAGTGTTTACTCGGGGTCAGAGCCATTGCCTAAAGTCAGGAAGAAGCTGGGCATGGCGGTGCACGCCTGTAATCTCAGCACTTCAGTGGCTGAGGCAGGAGGATCACCGCGACTTTGAGGCCAGCCTGGGCTACGTAGCAATTACAGACTGAACTGCCTAGCTTCACCTTGTCTAAAAAAACCAAACAAACAAACAAAAAACCTTAAATATGCCAGGGATGTAGTTCAGTGGTGTGGTGCCGTGCCTGCCTGAGTTCAATTCTTGGTCCTAGAAAAAAAATTTTTTTAAGTCAGAAAATGAAATAGCATTCAGATCAGAGGAGAAGAAATGAAACCATTGCTTTTTATAGGTAATGTGATTGCATAAAATATCCCAGAGATGGGACTGGGGATGTAGCTCAGTGGTGCTGAGCCTGCCTGGCAACTGCAAGGTCCTGAGTTCGATTCCAGTTACCAAAGAAATGAGTATGGTACATCCACTTGGGCTGGGCAGTGTAGCTCAGTGGCATGGCGCCTACCTGGCAGACATACCTGGTATGTCTGGACCAGCCTACCTGGTCCTGCATCCAGTACCAAAAAAATATCCTAGAGAATCCACAGGAAAATTATCTGAACTAACAAGTATGTTTAGCAAGTTCTTCAGATGTGGTCACAATACCAAAACCCATTGTGTTAATGTATACTGCCTGTAACAGTTGAGAATTGAAATTTTAGGGCCGGGATTTAGCTCAGCGGTTCAGTGGCCTGCCTTGCAAGCACAAGGACCTGAGTTCAATCCCCGGTACCAAAAAAAAAAAAAAAAAAAAAAAAAAAATTTAAAAAAAAAAAAG